AAAGACTTCATTAGCAACTACAAGAAATGTTCCAGGGCCCCTGGGTGGCTCATTTGTTGATTTCAGCTCAGGTCATGATCTCAGAGGCCTGGGATCAAGCCCCAAGTCCAGCTCTGTACTCAGAGCTGAGTCCCCTTGGGACTTCTCTCTCCTTCTGCCCCTCCCCTCCACTCTTACTCTCTCTTCCTCCCAAATAAATAAATAATGCTTAAAAAAAGTGTTCTAAAATCTATAAAGAACTTACCAAACTTAACACGCAAAAAACAAATAGTCCAGTTAAGAAATGGGCAGAGACGTGAAGAGACATTTTTCCAAAGAAGACATCCGGCATTCTTTCAAAGAAGATATCCAAAGAAGACAGTCACATGAAAAGATGCTCAACATCACTCATCACCAGAGAATATAAATCAAAACCATGATGAGATATCACCTCACAGCTGTCAGAAAGGCCAAATAAAAATTCAAGAAACAACATCCCTCTTCTACTCTTGGTGGGAATGCAAACTGGTACAGCCATTCTGGAAAACAGTATGGAGGTTCCTCAAAAAGTTAAAAATAGAGTTACCCTAGGATCCACCAATTGCACTACTGGCTAAGAATTTACCCAAAGGATATAAAAATACAGATTCAAACATTCTGATGTTTAATATCAGCATTATCAACACCAGCCAAACTATGAAGAGAGTCCAAATGTCCATTGAGTAGTGAATGGATAAAGAAGAAATGGTGTATATACACAATGAACTACTTAGGCATCAAAATGAATGGACTCTTGCCATTTGCAATAACATGGATGGAAGTACAGTATACTATCCTAAGTAAAGTAAGTCAGAGAAAAACAAATACAGTATGATCTCATTCATATTGGAATTTAAGAAAGCAGATGAATATATGGGAAGGGGGAAAAAGAGGGACACAAACCATAAGATTCTTTTTTTATTCTAAAAGATTTTATTTATTTATTCAGGAGAGACGCAGACAGAGAGAGAGAGACAGAGACAGAAGCAAGCTCCATGCAGGGAGCCCGACGCGGGACTTGATCCAGGGCCTCCAGGATCAGGCCCTGCGCTGAAGGCCGCTCTAAACCCGAGCCATCGAGGCTACCCAAACCGAGAAGATTCTTAAGGATTGAGAACACACTGAGGGTTGATGGAGGGATGTGGGTGGGGGAGGGGCTAGAAGGGGGAATGAGTATCAAGGAACGCATGTTTGATGAGCACCACGTGTCTCATATATGTGGCTAATGACTGAATTCTCCTGAAACCAATATTGCACTACATTTCCCCTAACTAAAATTTAAATAAAAATTAGGAAAAAAACAAAAACAAACACAAAAAATCCCGAGAGTGTTCAAGAAAGTCCATCAGGCAGAAGGAGAATCACAGATCTAAACCTGGATAGACATAAAACATAAAGAAACCAAGAGTACCAGAAATCGTAACAATGTTATTTTCTTATTCTTTACAAATATAACTCTTTACCTAAAAATCACAACGTCTTCGGGGATTCATTCTACCTGTAAAAGTAATATCAAACAAGAACATAAGGACCAAGAGGGGAGAAATGGAAATAACAACAAGCTCCCTATAGTTGAAGTGAAACAGTACATTACCTGAAGATAAAACATAAAATATTAAAGCTGCATATTACAAAACCCAAACCTATAAAAACATTAACAGTGTTAGAGCTAATGATCCCGCAAAAGATGTAAAATAGAATAAAAAAAAATACACAATACATTCAAAGGAAAGAAGTTCACAAAAGAAAAAAGAAACAAGGAATCCCTGGGTGGCGCAGCGGTTTGGCGCCTGCCTTTAGCCCAGGGAGCAATCCTGGAGACTCGGAATCGAATCCCACATCAGGCTCCCGGTGCATGGAGCCTGCTTCTCCCTTTGCCTATGTCTCTGCCTCTCTCTCTCTCTCTCTCTCTATCTCTCTCTGTGACTATCATAAAAAAAAAAAAAAAGAAAAGAAACCAATAGTACAAAGAGAAAGCAAAACCAGACTACAACCTAACTGGTTATATCAATAATCAGATTACATATAAGGTGATCTAAGCAACCCAATTAATAAGCAGAAACTGTTAGACTGGATTTAAACACCAAAATCCAACTAACTGCACTTCAAATATAAAGATGAAAATAGGGGAGATCCCTGGGTGGCTCAGTGGTTAGGCGCTTGCCTTTGGCCCAGGGCACGATTCTGGAGTCCCGGGATCGAGTCCCACGTCGGGTTCACTGCATGGAGCCAGCTTCTCCCTCTGCCTGTGTCTCTGCCTCTCTCTCGATCTCTCTATCATAAATAAATAAATTTAAAAAAAAAAGGATGGAAATAGGCTAAAATCGAAGGGTGAAATCACAAGCAACACGTCTCAAAGAAAGCCAGACTGGCTACATGACAATGTTATAATAATATACCACGTCCAGAATTCATCCATCAATCAATATCCTTGATTTTAGCAGGTACAATCTGAAGAGGGACATGACAGATGACATCTGCTCTCAAATGATTCAGATAAGAATATATATATATATATACACACACACACAGCTAATAAAGCAAATGTGGGGGATCCCTGGGTGGCACAGCGGTTTAGCAGCTGCCTTTGGCCCAGGGCGCGATCCTGGGGACCCGGAATCGAATCCCACGTCGGGCTCCCGGTGCATGGAGCCTGCTTCTCCCTCTGCCTGTGTCTCTGCCTCTCTCTCTATCATAAATAAATAAAAATTAAAAAAAATTAAAAAAAAAAAAAAAGCAAATGTGGGGAGAGGTAAAAAAAACTGTAGTATCTGGGCAAAGGGAACATGGGAGTTCTCTAAGATCCTTGCGACTGTTGTGTACGTTTGAAGGTTTTTCAAAATAAAATGTTGAATAAAAATGAATGCTATCAAATACATAGAGGATGTTGCAAAAGGACTCAGAAACCCATCTGTAGGGATTCCTCTGGTCAAACACAGAACCACTTAGACATCAAAGAGAGAAACGACTTCAATGTACTGAAATACTTAAAATATGTGTAAACCCATGAGCTCACAATGGTAACAAAATGAAACAAAGAAAAATCCCAGTTGCTTAGGAGCCCACAGGATATTGTGAAAATAATCTTGTCTGTAAGAACCACAGAACTATTTAAAGAGATGTTGTTCTTTAGGAAAGTATTCCAGCTGGGAAACAAAGAAATGGTAAAGTAACATAGCACCATCTTGTCTCCCCTAAAGAACTGGGGGATCTTGGCAATGAACATCAACCAATGGATGCTAACGTCACAAAAACAAAGGAAGATGATACGGGCCTCCAGGGGAAAGCGGACAAGAGTCATGGGCAGCAAAGGCTTGCAAAAGAACTGAACAGAACTGGGTCAACGTCGAGAGCTAACTACCAATTATATAAGGCGTGTGGGTAATGAAAAAAATTCCTCGAGTTAGAATGACAGCAATGTGGTCCACACAATCCAGACTACGGGAAACAAAGGATAAGCTCATTTTCTTCAAACCATAGATTACAAAGCAGTAACATAACACACACAAGGAAACCATCAGTAAATGATTTAAAAGACTTAGCCACCTGGAAAGAGTGGTCTCTGTGTATCCTGATTGAAAAGAACCACCTCGGAATCCCTGGGTGGCGCAGCGGTTTAGCGCCTCCCTTTGTCCCAGGGCACGATCCTGGAGATCCAGGATCGAATCCCACGTCGGGCTCGCGCTGCATAGAGCCTGCTTCTCCCTCTGCCTGTGTCTCTGCCTCTCTCTCTCACTGTGTGCCTATCATAAATAAATAAAAATTAAAAAAAAAAAAAAAGAAAAGAACCACTTCAAACACATCCAGAAGATGGCGAAACTTTGAACACCAGATATTACATACTGAGAAAAAAAGGTATTGCAGGTTACCCTCACCCACTTTTTCAACACCCCTGATCAACCGTTAAAGAGCAAAAATATGTGCAGGTGAACTTTTTTAAAAGCCAAGAAAAGGGAGACTCCATGAAGAAAAGAAACGTGGAAGTAATACATCAGATTGAGTGATCACGGGAGGTAAGAGCTGGATGATGTCTGATGCATCTGACTGTACCGTGATCACCGCTAATCTTTTTTTTGAAAGATTTTATTTATTATTTGATAGTGAGCAACACAGTGAGAGAGAGAGCAAGAGAGTGAGAGAACACACAAGTGGGGCGAGGGACAGAGGGAGAAGCAGACCCACAAAGCAGGGAGCTCAACTTGGGGTTCGATCCCAGGACCCCAGCATCAGGAACTGAGCCAAAGGCAGACACTTAGCTGCCTGAGTCACCCAGGGGCCCAGCTCACTGCTAATCTTTAGCAATACGTTCCAGAGAGGGGTGAGGACAAAATCAAGATGCTAAGAATTGAAATGGGAACGGCAGTGAATGCACATTTACTAGAGAATACCTCGCTGTATTATGTACTGCACAACCGAGGCAAGTAGTAGTAACAGAAGCCACCTGAAGGATGCGCAGGCCATTACACTCACGACTCAGCTTTTACCCCTGGACAAAACAGTAACAATGAAAATATGTCTCCTTGGATCACGGTATTTTGGTGCCTGGAAAAATTATACATACCTGGTCCTCGGTTTAGATAAGCAAAAAACATGTACTAAGTTGCAATGATTTAATGATGATCATTAGGAAAGCTACCAGCAACTACATCAATTTCACAAAGACAGTTTCACAAGTCCTAAGAAACCTTTAAAGCCAACAAGTTAAAAAATGGTTTCCTATTATAATCAATTGAAATCACATAAGGCACGATACCCTCCTTTTCTCTGACAACCAGGCACATGAGTCACGTATGTAGCCCTACCCCATAGCTCTGCACACATGAATTCCATCCACAAAAGACTCTGGGTGCTAATCTGAGAGGGTGAGAAGTGCATTTTACATGATAACATTTTCTATTTCCAAATTCCCATTTTAAAATCTGGACCCACACAAATCTCCTGAAATGCATTACAAAACCAAGCACGGAGACAGGAAAACTCACCTGGGATTCGTTCATTTTCTGCTGCTCTTGGAAAACCAAAGACTGTTAACGGTGGACCTGGGGAAGAAGAAGAAAGGATAGAAGTCGCTGGTCATCCTGCATAATACCACCAAAGAAATCTCATTCCCTGTGAACACTCGGAAGAGGCTAAAAATGTGAGAAAAGAGAAAGGTACAACAGAATTGGGGTCCCTCCCACGTATCACGAGGTGACCAGATGGGTTACTCTTTCTTTTCCTTTTTAAGATTTTATGTATTTGTTTATTCACAAGAGACCCAGAGAGACAGAGAGAGAGAGGCAGAGACACGGGCAGAGGGAGAAGCAGGCTCCATGCAGGGAGCCCCACGTGGGACTCCACCCTGGATCTCCAGGATCACACCCTCGGCCGAAGGACCCGTGAAACCACTGAGCCACCCGGGCTGCCCTCGATGGGTTACTCTTCAATGGTTTTTCAAACCGTTTGCCTTCATTAAACTCACGTCGAAAAAAAACCCTCCTCTTCACGGTGCTCTCTACGTAGTTCCTGATCTCTTCAAATTACTGAAAATCACGTATGCACAGGAACAGGAAACACCAGGTCTCTAAAATAGGGTAAATGTGCACCAAGGCACACTTGTTTTCAAATGCTCTCCCTTCACTGGCTCCTCCGCTAGCTACACCGAAGAACCTTTTGATCACGAAAACTAACAGGGCGGCCAGCACGCGCGCCCAGGAGCCCAGGCCCGAGAGCAAGCCCACCCACGGACCCCGTCGCCCTGGACAAGCCGCCTCCCTTCTCAGGCCCAGGCTCCCCCTCTGTCAACCAGGCAGCCGCAGCCCGGCCCTCCTGGCACACCGGCCCTGCGCTCCACCGGCAGATGCCCCAGGGCACAACGCAGCCGGCTCCGCACACACTCCTGGGCGCCTAGAGACCCGTCTGGAGGCTGGACGGGGCGACGGCGCAGCCAGGGGGGGACGGGGCAAGGGGAGGCGGGAGCCCCTTGCGCCCCCGGGAAGCCGGGACCCCACGAGTCCCGCGTCCCGGGGGAGCGCCCATCCCTCCCCGCCCGCGCGCGCGCACTCTGGCCGCCCGGAAGATCCACAACCGCCAGGAGGCCCGCAAGCGCACGACCTACCCCGTCGGGACCCGCCGAGCTGCCCCGAGGCTCGCGAGGGATCCGGGGCGGGGGCTGCTCCTCCTGCGCCTCCCGGGGCCGCCGTTCCCGGGGCGCCGGCTCTGGAACTAGCGCGCAAACTCACTTCGGGCCGACCACCCTCCGGGGCCCCAAACGGCCGCCCGACGCCTCGCCGTCCTGCGGCCGCAAACCGGCCGGACCCGGGCCCCGCCGCAGCCGCCGCCGCCGCCGCCGCCGCCGCCGCCGCCACTCGACCGCCCGGCTCCTCCGGCCCAGGCCCGCGGGCTCCGGGGCTCGCGCTGGGGGGATCCCGCTCGCGCCTCCGCCCGGCCCGCGCGGACCCGCGCCCGCTGGGTGCCGGCCCGGCCGGACGGCGGACAGCCCCGCAGGTCCCGGGGAATCCTCGGCCGCCGGAGGCCGAAGCCTGGGAACCGCGGCGAGCGGGGACCTGCGCACGCACAGGAAGCGAGAGCAGCGCGGCCGCACTGCGCCTGCGCCAACACGCACACAGGCCGAGCTGCACATGCGCACCACGGCGCCGCCGGCGTGCGGCCCGGGTCCTGCGGGAGCCCCCTGGGGGAGCGGCACAAATCCCCGGACTCTGTTTCCCGGGAGTCCAAGCGCCCACACGCTAGGGGACGTCTCGAAAGTCTCCACCTCCTCGGGTGGGGAAGAGGCACCGTGCTCAGAGGATTGACCATCCGGACCTACTGCCCAATGGCCCAGTTGTCTTCGCTCCCGTGAGGAATCGAGGAGACGTGTCGCTTCCAGGAGCGGCTGTGTCTGCGTCCTGGATCCCTGGTCCTTTCCTTGCCCTGACGTCTGTCGGCTTGGCACCGAGACTTCCACAAGCAGGAGAGGACGGGGAAGGGTGCACGTGTGCACGTCACTGAACTATGACACGGTTCACGAAAACACCGGGATACGATTACTACTCAGCAATGACATAAGACAGGCGCATGGTTTCTCCAAGAGAGGAGAAGGAAATAGAAAAGGTAGCTTGTCCAAGTTGCACAACGAATGCAAAGTACAGACTGTGGAACAACCGCATTTCACACACACACAGACCCGAACCCGGATACCTGGGAATTTGCCCGTCCGACGAATTAAATGTATGTTAGGTTAAAATGCCATGTTTTGACGAGGAGGTCCTAAGGACAAGGATGTGGCAGTATTTGGGGGGAGAGATTATATAACGGTGTTCCTGGCCGATTGCTTCTTCAACGCCGCGGGGTGGTGGAGATTAAAAGTGGACTCTCCCGGTCGCCTGGGTGGCTCAGCAGTTGAGCGTCTGCCTTGGGCTCAGGCGGTGATGCCCAGGTCCAGGATGGAGTCCCGCATCGGGCTCCCTGCAGGGGGCCTGCTTCTCCCTCTGCCTGCCTCTCTGCCTCTCTCTGTGTCTCCCATGAGTAAATCAATCTTCCTTCTCCTGAGAGCAGGGGGAGGGGCAGAGGGAGAAGAGGAGAGAATCCCCAGCTGACTCCAGGCTCAGCCTGCAGCCCCACGGAGGGCTTCATTCCACAACCCTGACACCCGGACCTGAGTCCAAACCAAGAGGCAGCTGCTTACCTGGCTAAGCCACCCAGGCCCCCCATCCTACTGTTAAATAACCTTTAAACCAGACTGTGTCGCACATCCCAGGCAAACCACTAACAAGTTGGCAAGGAGAAACCCGAGACTTGCCTTTCATTGTAGCTCAGCCGATAGTGCTCATCCTAAGTGGTAAACCTGTTTCACACCTACAGGACTTGTCAGCACCATCTGCTACGCATTTTTTCATACTTCATCCTAAATTCACCTGGTAGTCGGGGTGCTGGTCCATCCTAGTTGCCGCTGTGTGAAGGAGAAAAAAAAAGTTCTTACCTTTCTCTGTCAAGCAGGTAGTTTACAGCTCATAGCAAGATGCCTAGAGACCATGCTTACCCCCTCCCGGAGACACAGAGGGACACTATCCTCCTTGAGGTTTACAGGTCAAAGAGATGGCTCCCAGGCCCCTAAGAACAACCTTCCTGGGTTGTAATGTGGGCAATACAATTGTTTAGCTTCAAAAGATATTGAGATACATATGAGATCAACAGAGGAAGTATGTATATTACACGTTTACTCGAATCTATTTTTTTAAAAGATTTGATATTCATGAGACACACACACACACACACACACACACACAGAGAGAGGGGAAGAGACGTAGGCAACTGGAGAAGCAGGCTTCCCGTAGGGGGCCTGTTGGGGTACTCCATCCCAAGACCCCAGGATCACACCTGAGCCAAAGACAGGCGCTCAACCACTGAGCCACCCAGGTGCCCCAGTAACGCTCTTATGTTTTTTCGTTGTCTTTTTTTTTTTTTTTTTTTTTTTAGATTTTATGCATTTGTTCATGAGAGACACAGAGAGAGAGAGGCACAGACACAGGCAGAGGAAGAAGCAAGCCCCCGGCAGAGAGCCTGATGCAGGACTTGATTCCAGGAGCCCGGGATCACGACCTGAGCCTAAGGCTGATGCTGAACGACCCAACCACCCACGGCCCCCCTCCCGCCGCCCCCCGCCCCCCCGTAAATCTCTTCGAAAAAGTAACAGTAAGTACTCTTTTATACCAATGAACGGGCACATAACCCATTCCCGATTTCCCTTAGCCGAGCTGCTGCATCAAACTAATCGCGCACAAAGGGTGTGCTTCTCCCGAAGCTGCCGATGGCAGTGGCAGTGTAGCCAGGAGCAGTCTTGCCCAGCTCTTGCTGCTACGAAGTGTGGCTGGTGCCGGAATGCTCACCGAAGGAATGCTGCAATTGGAGCCAGGCGATCACACCTCCCCTGGGCCTGAGCCTAGAAGATCGCCAGGCACATCCCTTCCATATTCTTTTCCGTATTCAGCAGGTAAAGGACAGAAGCTGCGCCGAGCACGTCGGTGAAGACAGGCAGAACCCCAGTCCCCTGGGTCCTGGCCTTCAGCCCCGGCTCCCCGCCCCACCACCCCAGGGCACTGCCTGGCTCAGCTGAAGACCCGGACGCCCTCCCACCTCTCCACTCTGGCTCTCTGCCTGTGAACTCTGGCTGTCGTGCCCCCCCCACCCCCCGAACATCCCACTGCGTTCCTGCAACTGACACACGCTGGGCTGCCCCACCACCTCAGCCCCCTACCTCGGCCTGAATACTCTCTGGGCACTGAACTGGACACTCTTAAGGCTCACCCTTCACTCCAGATACATGAAAATATGAAATGACAGATTTTAGCTATCTCCTCCTTCTAGAAACTTCTTTAACCTGGGAGGGCAAATCTTCACCTCGTGTGTCCGTCTGGGCCAGAAGCAGCGGACCTGCATCTTTTCATATCGTTTAAGATCTCTTCATTCATTAGTGTTTAAAATAAAAAGTTTTCTCTTTTTGTGTTTGGAAAAAACACAAATATTTCTCCCAATTTATCATCGAGCTTTATTCATTCATTCATTCATGAGAGACGCACACAGAGAGGCAGAGACACAGGTGGAGGGAGAAGCCGGCTCCCCAAGGGGAGCCCGACGGGGGCCAATCTGGATCTCGGGACCCCAGGACCATGCCCTGGCCAGAAGGCAGCGACCAAACTGCAAAGCCACCCAGGCGACCCAAGTCATTGATCTTTGTAACCTAATGTTTTACTTTATTTTCTGTCATATGGATATTGTTTCTGTGTTCAAATCGTTCACTTCCTCTTCATACTTTTCATCTGCTTAGACACTGTCTTTGAAGAAGCCTTTCCCACCCTTAATTTCCTAAGTAGTCGCCTCGGTTTGCTCCCGTTTATTTTTCTCTCTTTAATGCATCAGTTTTATTAAGCTAACTGGCACCCATCTTCAAGATTTGTAAATCATTCTTCTCTTGAAGTCTTTCCACCTTGTTTTCCAAAATGAACACAGTCACCTTGACCAGGAAATGCCAGAGGCATTCAAGGTTCTAATCTGTGTGAAAGAACCGGTTCTTCTTTGAAGCCTCTGGACATGGACGCGTCTTGCCTTAGGGAAAGGGGCAGCAGAAGGATCAGGAAAGTGACTGTCAAATCTGAATTCCCTCTTCTTCAAAAATACTGGTTGGATCTGCCTACAGGGAAGCTGTAACAAAGTAAGACAAACCAGGCAGCTTTCAGGCGTTCACGACAAAAATGCATGGTCTCACTGTTCTGGAGGCTGGGAGTCTGAGATTCAGGTGTGGGCACGACAAAAATACATTCTCTCACTGTTCTGGAGGCTGGGAGTCTGAGATTCAGGTGTGGGCAGGGCTGGTTCCTTCTGAGTGCTGTGGGGGAGGGGCTCTTGCATCCTCCCTCCCTGGCTGGTAGATGTCAGTCTTCTCTCCCTGTGTCATCACACTCTCTTCTCTCTACTTGGATGTTTGTGTCCAGATTTTCCCTTTAAAAAAAAAAAAGTTATGCATTCATTTTACGGAGAGAGCACAAGCAAGCCACGGGAGGGGAAAGGGGGGGTGAGAGAGAGCGAGAGAGAGAGAGAGAATAGAGAGAGAGAGAGAGAGAGAGAGAGAGAGAGAGAGAGAGAGAAGAAGACTCCCCTCTCTGGTGTGGAACAGACCTCTCTGGGGCTTGATGTGGGGCTCAATCTAACAACCGTGAGAGCAGGGGCTGGACCAAAATCGAGTTGGATGCTCAACCAACTGCGCCCCCAAGGCGCCCCCCCCCCTAATTTTCCCTTCATAAAGGACAGCATTCTACAGACCCCACTTTACCTTGATTTCTTCCATAAGGATCCCACCACTAAATACAATCACATTCTGAGGTACCAGGGGGTGGTACACATGAATGGGGTGGTAGGGGTGCGAGGGGGCACACAATTCAACCCTAGCATTTGTATACCTGGTCATGTCAAATTGGCTTTCTCACTGCCTTGGTTATGCTGTAAGGGAAGAGCCCCCTTACAGATTATCTTATCGAAGTATTTTAGTTTATAGGTGAAGAAATGGGGGCCTGGAAGAAGGGAGGGTTTGCCTAGGGGCACAGGCTGCTTTGTAACAAAACCATTTCGTTCCCACCTCCCCACCACCCCCATCGTTTAGACAGGTATTCTATCTCCTGCTTTATGTCCTCCAGATTGTCTATCCTCAGAAGTCTGGGCAGACAGAGAAGGGGACACAGTGAATAGGTTACAGGATTTGAATCAAAACAGCTGAAGTGAATCCTGGGGTCCGCTTCGGTCTTTAGGGCTTCACAATCCTTGTTTCTAAAAAACAAATCCTAGGACCCTGCTCTCTCAACGCAGCAAAGAAAAGGAAGAGACATTCCTCCTGCAAATGTCTTATGAAGGATAGATCTTTGATTCAAAACAAGATTTGCAAACAAACATGGGCAAATTGGTATGGAGACACCATTTCAGAACGTTTCAAAGAGGCGATAACCACAGACGATACAGCTTAACCTGACTTTGGGACCCACCAAGTATATGTCAGCCAGGGTGCAGGGCAGTATAAAAGTCAAAGACTAAGATTTACCTTTAATACTGAGCTTCAGACACCAGATCTTCGAAGTCGGTATCCAGAACCTCTTCCCGTCTCCCCATCCCAGAATTCTGTTCTGTGAGTTAGCACTGCAAGCCGTCTTCCTAGGGCGTCTCGAGGTCTTAAGGGTCACAGAAGGGAAACACAGAAACCATTACTCACTAGAGAATGACAGGCCAGGGTGAGCAGCCCCTGGCTAGCTGTGACTTAGTGGAGAGGGCAGGTGTTGTTGTTGTGTGATTTTTTTTTTTTTTTTGAGATTTCATTCATTTATTTGAATGAGAGGGAGAGTGGCAGAGAGAACACAAGCAGCGGGGAGAGAGGAAGGCAGGCGCCCCATGAGCAGGGAGCCTGATATGGGGGTTCAATGGGTGCAGACTTCCAGTTTGAGGGAAGATGACAAAGTTCTAGAGACGGAAGTTGCTGATGGCAGCACAGCAACGCAAATGTGCTTAAGGCCACTTAATTATACGCTCACCAATGATTAAAATGCTGCATTTTATGTTGTGTTGTGTTATCACCAAAAGAAGGAAGGAGCAAGTAAGACTCAGATGCCCAGGTGAAAAGCAGAGGAAGGAGGTACGAGGTGTGGAAGAAGCTTCCCCTGATACTACAGGACAGCCAGTCAGTTATTTTGTGACTGCATCTGTGCTCCTGGGGGCTTCCCACCTTCTCAATAAAACAGATTCTGCCTCCAATTGGAGGTTTTTCCACTCAGCCTTTGTGGGCACGTCACAACATTTTATTCATACGATACACAAGGAGTAGTGAAATTCCTAGGTCAAGGGTAATACACATGCTCAAAATTTTACATGCAAGCTAGAGCTGATTAACTGCAATCAAGGGGCAGGTTCTGGGTGATCCATGGACTTCTGAAATCGGGGACAGCATCTGATGTGTGTGGGAGCACACGTACAATTTTCTAGGAGCAGGCTCCCAAAATACCTCCCGGGCTCAGGGACACCGGAGAGTAGAGCATGAATGCTCCCCCAGCACAGAATCCCCAACACAGCATCAGTAAAACAAGTGAGAGAGCTCTGCCAAATTAAGCGACGTAACCTAACTTTTCAATCCAACAAGTCCATGTACCTGGACGTTCCCTACATACTTATTTCACTCTTGTAAGATCTTACCTTCCCTCGTCTGTTTCCTCCCTCTCCTGCCAGACTGCACCCTGAAACAGGAATAGAAGGATGCAGAGAGCCCCGCATCTGCTGGAGAGGAGTAGAGTGATCCAGACACCCCGAGGACCGTTTTGGAGGATGGCTGCAGGCCGGATCGGCGACTTGAGATAGCCTTGATCCTGAACTCCAGAAGTGGACCTCGGTCTCGCAGTTGCACGTGTCTTCCTTCAAAATGGCTGCCAGGCTGGAATGGTGCATGACATCAGAGGCTTCTGACCTTCCTGATTGGAAAGACTGGACTCCGTGGTTCTTGGCAACGGAGGTGGACAAGAGCATCTTCGCAGAGCATGTCCATACTCCTAGCTTGGCCCCAGCTTAGAGAAGGGATAACAGGGCTTGGGTTCACCCAGAAGCCAGAAGGGGAGTTTGAGAAGAGGAGGGTCTGAGTCTCCTGGGAGGGCGCAAAGAGCTTGGGAGAAATCATGGCCAGTTGTCAACCGTCCGCCCAGTCTGAGGGCCAGAGCCCCCAGCCTAGCACATCAGGGTACCCCCCGGAGGCCGTGGTAGATGAAGAAAGCCCAGGACCATCAGGTGAGGAGGCAGGAGGGAGAAGCAGGAGGGAGAAGCCTTGACAGGCTTGACTAGTGAGTACAAATGGGTACAGAAGCCAGGAAGGTGTGTCTGACTAGACTGCACGTGACAGGAGAGATTCAGAAAGCCAGGGATTGGAGAAGAGAGCACGGGAGCCGGGGACAAGGGTATCCCACTGGCAGGAAAACCCAGGAAGCAAGGAAGGAGGGTTAGGTGATGAGATCCAAAGATGAGAGAAAGGAAGAGAGGACATTATCCCATTATCCTCATGGGAGAAATGATCTACGAGGAAGAGTTTTGAGGGCGTGGTGGGAGGTATGAAACAGTGGCAAAGATGAATGGGGGCAAATGCATATGAATGAAGGACAAAGATGAAAGGTGGTTTTGGAGAGGCCAATCATCTATGAGGCTACAGAGAATGAAGAGGGAGTTTGGGTTTGCGGGTGTGGAAAGCGTGGCTGAATTCCAAAGACAGAAGAAGCTTCGTACTGTAGCCTGGTTTCTTCACTCAGCCCCCTTTGTAGACCCCTGCCCCTTGCCTCAGTCCCGCGGAAGGAAGAGAGACATCGAATCCGACGAGGAGACAGCCCCTGAGGCCAACGACATCTGGGTGGTGGAGACACTGAGGGGACTCAAGATGAAGCTGAAGAGACAGCGGGTATCTTCAGTGCTCCCTGAGCACCACGAGGCGTTCAACAGGCTGCTCGGTAGGAACAGCACCCTCCAACCTTATTCGTTTTTCCTGAAAACACAAGAAACTTCCAATGGCTACGCTTTTCCAATGGAAAATAATTCTTTGCAGGTCGCTGAGCTCTCTCTCTCCATCCTTGGAGGACTCCATACTGACCCCTCATCGGGGACACTTAGAAATGACAGAGGGATGAGAAAGCTTAGGTGCGGTCGCACTCCTGAGACATCTTAGCGCTTACTGGCCTTTTGAGTCTGAGTGCCTTCCGCTGTGTCGGGGCGGGGGCGGGGCCGGGGGCGGGGGCGGGGAGGGGAGGACAGGCCATCTTTGTACCCCGATGCCACTGTGGAATGAGAAAATGACAGCGGATGATGTTATGGTCTCTGCAGTGGCACATCCATGCATGATGAGACAGCATCACTATTTACTTCAGATCCCATCCTGCAGATGCACTGCTGACACCTGCCTGCCTCTGGGTCACCCGACACGGGGGAGCCGCCAACTTTTCTTGGCCAGTCCATGGTCTTTTCTCCCCTCTGCCCATCAGCCTCACCCTTGGCTACATCCTGAAACTTCCCCAGGGGAGGTACTGTTCTCTTTGCTCTGGAACAAAGAGAGGGTTCCCACAGTAACCCCATTCCAGTTGCCAACATGACATCTGCCCTCTTTTCACAGAGGATCCTGTCATCAAAAGATTTCTGGCCTGGGACAAAGATCTGAGAGTATCCGACAAGGTATTGTTGTTCTCCACTAAGATAGACTCTTGCTCCAACACCTGTCCTGGGGCAGGGGAATGCCTCCTCAACCCTCTCTCCAACCTCATGCCTACCAAGACTTCTGGTCGGGGACCTCGTGGCTTTTGCAGATCCCCTGGGACCTGAGCACCAGCTGTGCCCCTCTGGCTGTTGCTACCTTAAGTCCCTTTGCCTCTCTGCTCCTGGGGGGCTTCCTTTGGCTCCAGCTTATCAAAGACCCCCCTCAAGCTGGCTGTCCTAAACACAAGCCCTCAAACCAGCACAACTAGCCATCCTGGGAGCACCACAAACTCTTCCCTTGCTTTCCCCAGTTTGTAACCAACTGTCTGACACCAAAGAAGCAGGTTCACCCAACATGTCAAAGAGGCACCACCTGCTCCAGCCTCCTGTCCCCTCACCTCACTGGTCTTCCTCTCCCAGGATGGGACCCTTCTATGACGGCTTTTCTCCTCTTTCCGCCAGTATCTCTTGTCCATGGTCATCGCCTATTTTAGCCGCGCTGGTCTCTTCTCCTGGCAGTACCAGCGAATTCATTTCTTCGTGGCACTGTGAGTATTTCGCCTCATCCATCAGCAGTAGTCAATAACCTGGGAGGAAGGAGGGTAGAAGTGGGACTCTGATCTTTCGGCTCTTTTTCTCAACCTGTTTCTAACTCTTTAAATCTTGCGGGTTTTATTTACTTACTTTTTTTTTTTTTTTGAGCTGTTTACTCTGTGTATAAAAACAGTAGGATTATAGTGGTTTTTTATGCTATTCTTTGTAAACACAAATGCCCCTAACATCAGCTAAGAGACCCCCTGAAGAGAAGGAAACAAAAACTCTCCAAAGAGGAGGGAAGGAAAGAACAGAGGCTGCCTCGCCCCAAGCAACTAGGCTCAAGCAGCAGCCAGTTCTGATCCTTGAGATCTGTCTTCTTCCCGTGGCAATACCAAGCATAACTGTCTTCCTCCTCTGCACTCCCAGCACAAATGCCTCAATTCAGCCTCAAGACATAGCACAGATCTGTCGTAAAGGCTCCCGCTGGTGTTTCTTACAAATCCGTCCCAAGCCAGTGGGTGCTATATGCCTGAAGTCTTTCCAAAGCATCGTCTCCTGCTCTACGCTCCATAACAATCTCATGGGCTAGGGGTGCTAGTGGTCAAGGTCAGAGTTTCCAGCTTAGCTCCAACCCCCTCATCTCCATCCAACTTGTTCACCCTCTTCGTGTTTCATCCTTCCAAGTACCCTTCCCTCCGTTTCTATACTGTGTTTCCCGTCTAGGTGATTTTGCACGTCTCCCTGAAGAAAACGACCTTTCCTCGAGATTGATTCCAACCGCAAAATCTTCAGATGGCCCCCTAACCTCCCTGACTTCTGCACCCTAGTAGCACTTCTGTTAAAATTCTAGTCTCATGGGTATTTTGGACTAACGTTATTTCTCATTCACTACCCCCTTCTGCCCCTTTCCCCCTTCCCCAATCCCGTTACACTAGACACCTGTTGAGGCAGGTCTTGTCAAAATATTACCATGCTCTCAAAAACACTCAGCACAATTCCTTACATTTTGCAAATGTTTAAGTTAGGTCGGGTCTACGAGGTAATCAGTATTGCCCCTGACCGTGAGAGAAAGCATTCACTTATTCATTCAACAAACACGTATAAAGTACATCTGATGTGCCAGGGACCATGAGGCGATGGGAAGAGAGAAACAAGAAGTGCATGTTGAATTACTGCACCTACATGAACCCAGTCCTATATTAGTCATTTGGGAGGAAAGCCAGGACTACAGAAATAGAGCAGGAGCTGTACACATGCCCCTGCTCCACAGGGCGACAGGTGTGTGCACAGACAGGCTGAAGGGAAGGGGGTGGGCTCAGGGATGGGAAAACAGAGCAGCATATGCCCTCAAGCTTCTGGGTGAGTTGTCTTTCTCCTCAAAGCGGGAGAAGTCTCTGCCCAGCCGTGCCTTCCTGATGACTGGGGGGCGCTCGACGACGCTGGGTAGGAAGCCGACTACATCTTTTCTGGGAAGCTGAGCTCAGGTGGGGGGGGTCCTTCCTGTCCTGCTCCTGACCAGCAACCTCATGTCTTTCTCCAGCTACCTGGCCAATGATATGGAAGAGGATAACCAGGCCCCCAAACAAGCCATCTTTTCATTCCTTTATGGGAAGAACCGTTCCCAGCGTCCCTTGTTCCACAAACTGCGATTGCAATTCATCCGATCCATGGGCTGGAAGACCAGGGTGTCCAGGGAAGAGTGCGAGGAGGTGGGTGGGCTGTGGGGATTAGGGGTGGGTGAATGGGGGGGGGGGCATGTTAGGACATGGGATTCAGGATGAGAAAGAATTAGAGCCTGGAGAGTGGGAGGGAGGGGGAATCCACCTGGAGGTTGTCTTCTCAGGGATCTGTTTGTCTTCCAGATCCAGGCTTTCGATCCAGATCTGTGGGTGTGGGGGCGAGATCGCACCCTCATACCCTAGAGGGACCACGGAGGCCCGAGGTCATCGGCCTGAGGGGAGGTATGTCACGGGTCCAGGCACCATGACTTATTGTGTATTGAGGAAATCTGAGGAATCCAATTGCTAGACCACGCTCCTCTCCCCTGCCCCACACATGAGCCTTCCCACACACTGTAAAGTCGAGCAGCCACGCAGCCAGACGCGGACTCAGGTCCCAGCCACATGCTCACAACCACACACAGGCATGACCTCAGGGAGATGTGTGGGGGCCAGACTAGGGAAAACCGGTCTGTCACAGAGGCATGGCTGAAAGAATGCCATTCACGGCAATGGGGCCCCAAGGATAGCTTTCATGAAATGTTGATTTTCTGTGGAAAGTGAGGAAGTTTTCAATTGATTCCATAAATTGTGTATTCACTTTCTTTCTTTCTTTTTTAAGATTTTATTATCCAGGGCAGCCGCGGTGGCACAGCGGGCCAGCCGCGGTGGCGCAGCGCTTTAGTGTCGCCTGCATCCCGGGGTGTGCTCCTGAAGACCCGGGATCGAGTCCCGCGTCGGGCTCCCTGCGTGGAGCCTGCTTCTCCCTCTGCCTGGGTCTCTGCCTCTCTCTCTCTGTGCCTCTCATGAATAAATAAGTAAAAATCTTAGAGAAACAATTTATCTATTCATGAGAGACACAGACACACACACACACACAGAGAGAGAGACAGAGAGAGAGAGACAGAGAGAGAGAGAGAGAGAGAGAGAGAGAGGCAGAGACACAGGCACAGGGAGAAGCAGGCTCCACGCACGGAGCCTGATGTGGGACTCGACCCCGGGACTCCAGGGTCATGCCCTGGGCCGAAGGCAGGCGCCAAACCGCTGAGCCACCCGGGGATCCCCAGACTTTCTAATTCATTTTTGGCCTTTCATCCCTCACAGGTATCAACCACAGGGACTTGTTTACAACAACGTATACGTCTAACAGTAGGATATTTGATGGAAGAGTCTACCTATCTAGTGATACAAGAGAAATTATGTCTAGTTATGCTTTCATCCAAATTTCCTTTCAAGCACATTGCTTATGGCCAGATTGCCTGTGCATCTTTCATGTCCCCTGCCTGCTTCCGGACCAGTGTCCCATTTTGTTCAATTATACCTTTCCCCTCAGGTTTTTGGTCAAGGACGTTTGTCAGAACAAGTGAAGCTTAAGAAATAACAGTTTCAGCATGGCTTATTGTGATCGACACATAAACTTATAGATTTGGGTAGAGGATTAAGTGAAGATTGGGTTCAACTCATGTGAACTATAGCTCTGTTAGTCCATTTAGGCTCCTACATCAGAGGACTACAGAGTGGATGGATGGCTTAAGAACAACAGACATTTATTTCTCACAGACTTGGAGGGGACAAGTCTGAGATCGGAGTGTCAGAACCTTTACTGGGTTGGTCAGAACCTTTACTGGGTTGCAGACTGCCACCTTCTGGCTGTGTCCTCACATGGTGGAAGGGGAGAGCTAGGTCACTGGGGTCTCTTTTATCAGAGCACCAATCCCATTCAAGAGGGCCCCACCCATGCCCTAATCATCCCAGTGGCCCCATCTAGCACCATCACCTTGTGGGTTAGGATCTCAATGTATGAATTTGGGGTGTGCGTGTGGGATACAAACATTCAGACCACATAGCACTCACCAACTTTAGGACTAGGTGTTATGGTTAAACATCCGGATCTAGGGTTAGAATGGGGGATTAGGCATCTGGACTCATGGTTCATGATGTTGATGTGTGAGTGATGTTTGCGGTATGGTGATTAGTTCAGACTCTAAGTAGCACAAAAGGACCAAGGCGAGTGTCCAGTCTAAAGCAACATTCTCTCAAGGTTGTTTGTTTTGGTCCCTGAACAGAATCACCTAGAGCGAGCCCTGGCTATAAAGTAGATGACTGGGCCTGTTCTTAGGTACATGAAGAAGTTTTTGGAGCCAGGATCACCAAAGTCCAAAAGTCAAGCTTGGAAATGAACTGGGGTTTAGAACGAATGATGAGGGATAAAGTGGATTTATAAATTCGTCTCAACTCTGATTACAATGGACTGAGAAGGTGAATAATCTCTGTATCTGGAGAGGTGCCTCCTTGCAATCTGATGTCCTTCCCCTCTTTCTCAATTGCAGATCCCTGAGCCCCGGGGAGACGCAGGTTTTTCAGTCGGAAGTCAGGAACACAGGAGTCTCTTTCACAGATAATCTAGAAGAACCCAGGACCTTCCAGAACGAGCTCAGTGGAGTCATCATGTTGTACTCCTAGGAGCTGGGAGTCCATGGATTGGAGTCCACGGAGAGACAATAAGAAACCAGGGTTTTTTTTCACGTCCATCCCCTCCTGGGATACCATCAAATATTGCACATTACTTAATTTGAATCTCTGCTGAGGTAGAGGTCGGAGGTCCCATTTTTCATGCACTGGGACACAGGGGAGGAGGAAATTACCTCAAAAATATAAAATTAGAACCCGAAGGATTGTGACAGCCAAACATATGTCATGAATTTCATTTGTTCATTTTGAAAATGTTGCCCTTAGATTATATTTGTTTCTCTAGTTTTTATTTATGTATTTATTTTAAATAGTTCTGAAATAGTCATAGTTTCCAAGACATGCTATTCCAACGTAGTTTTGTGATGAGATTTCAGCTGCTGCATAACTATAACTTTGTTTACATATTCAGGATAGGTTTTGTTTTTATTATACTTATATAATACATCAGTTATACTTATAACCAGACGGGTTAGTTCCCTCATGTTCTTGTAACTGTAAATATTTATTTGATAGTCTTCGTTATTAAACTGTGAGAACCAGGTGTCATTTTTTAACTTGCCTTGATGACATGTTGGTATGTTACTTTAGGTTATTAAAGAGGACACTGCAAGGTGTCTCCTGGGGAAACATAATAAAGAGATGTCTTCTTACCTTCATGATGTTTGTGGTCATCACCATCAGTCTCATCTGTTCACTGTTCAATGATACTGTCGCTTAATGGGGATGTGATTATTTAGCCACGTTTTTCTTTGTCTTTTCTTTTCCTTTAATATTTACAACTGTGTGCCAAGAATTTATCTTAGATTAAGGTGGATAGTGCTGATTTCCCTTCAAGAGGACATGGCCTCCATATTCTTCTTCTTTTACAAAACAAACACTTCAATATACTAACATATGATGGATTATTGGTTACAAAGGTAGAGGTCAGTGATTTATCAGCCTCATGTAACACCCAGTCCCTCCTTAATGTCCCTCCTGAATGTCCGTCACACAGTCATCCTATTCCCCCACTCCCCTCTCCTCCAGCGACCCTCCATTTGTTGCCTATGATTAAGAGTCACTTATGGTTTGTGTCTCTCTCTGATATCGTCTTGTTGTATTTTTTCCTCTCTTCCCCTATGCTCCTCTTCTTTGTTTCCTAAATTCCATGTATAAGTGAAATCATAAGATAATTGTCTTTCGATGACTTATTTCGCTTAGCGGAATAGCCTCTAGTTCCATTCATGTTGCTGGAAATGGCAAGACTTCACGTTCTGATGGATGAGTAATATTCCATTATACACACACACACACACACACACACACACACACACACACACTACGTCCTGTTTATCCATTCATCTGTTGATAGACATCTGGGCTCTTTCCATAGTTTGGCTCCTGTGGACATTGCTGCTATGAACATTGGGGTGCAGATGCCCCTCTGGATCACTACACTTGTGTCTTTGGAGTAAATACCCAGTAGTGCAAATGCCGGGTCATACGGTAGGTCTATTTGGAACTTTTTGAGGAACCTCCAGAGTAGCTACACTAGCTTACATTACCACCAACAGTGTACAAGGGTCCCCCTTTCTCCACATCCTTGCCAACGTCTATCATTTCCTGACTTGTCAATTTTAGCCACTCTGACTTGTGTGAGGTGGTATCTCACTGTGGTTTTGATTTCTGTTTCCCTGATGCCGAAGCATGTGGAGCGTAGTCTCATGTGTCTGTCGGCCATTTGCATGTCCTCTCTGGCGGAATGTCTCTTCATGTCTTCTGCCCATTTGATTTTTAAAAATATTTTATTTATTTATTTATTCATGAGGGACACAGAGAGAGAGGGAGAGACATAGGCAGAGGGAGAAGCAGGCTCCTCGCAGGGAGCCTGATGTGGGACTTAATCCCAGGACTCTGGAATCATGACCTGAACCAAAGGCAGGTGCTCTATTGCTGAGCACCTTTTGTTTCTTCTCCCCATTACTTGTTGGATTATTTGTTCTTTGGGTATTGAGGTTGATAAGTTCTTTATAGATCTTGGATACTAGCCCTTTATCTCATACGTCATTTGCAAATATCTTCTCCCATCGTGTTGGGTATCTTTTGGTTTCCCCGACAGCTTCCTTTGCTGGGCCAAAGCTTTCAATATTCATGGAGTCCCAATAGTTCATTTTTGCCGTCGTTTCCCTTGCCTTTGGAGACGTGTGTCGTAAGACGTTGCTGCAGCAGACGTCACAGAGTTTGCTGCCTGTGTTCTCCTCTAGCATTTTGATCGACACCTGTCTCAGTTAGGTCTTTCATCCATTTTGAGTCTATTTTTGTGTATGGTGTGAGGAAATGGTCCACTTTCATTCTTCTGCATGTGGCTGTCCGATTTTCACAACACCGTTTGTTAAAGAGACTGTCTTTTTTCCACAGGATATTTTTCCTGCTTTGTCGAAGATTAGTTGAAGGTCCATTTCTACATTCTCTATTCTGTTCCATTGATCTACGTGTCTGTTTTTGTGCCAGTACTATGCCGTCATTTGAATATTGCTTTGTAATAGAGCTTGAAGTCTGAAATCGTGATGCCGCCAGTCTTTCGTTTTGTTTGTCTGTTTGACAATCCTTTGGCGGCTACTCAGGGTCTTTTCTGGTTCCATACAAATTTTAGGATGATTTGTTCCAACTCTGTGAAATAAGTTGATGATATTTTGACAGGGATTGCACTGAATGTATAGACCGCCCTAGGTAGCACAGATGTCTTAACAACATCTGTTCTTACAATCCATGAGCATAGAACGTTTTTCCATTTCTTTGTATCTTCCTCAATTTCTCTCATGAGTGTTCTACAGTTTTCTGAGTACAGATCCTTTGCCTCTTTGGTTAGGTTTATTCCTAGGTATCTAATGGTTTGGGGTGCAATTGGAAACGGGAGAGACTCCTTAATTTCTCTTTCTTCTGTCTCATTGTTAGTGTATAGAAATGCAGCTGGTTTTTGTGCATGGATTTTTATTTCCTGCCACTTTGCTGAATTCCTATACAAGTTCTAGCAATTTTGGGGTAGAATCTTTGGGGCTTTCCATGTAGAGTACCATGGCATCTGCAAAAAGTGCGTTTGACTTCTTCTTTGCGGATTCTGATGCTTTTTATTGCTTTTTCTTCTCTGCGGAGGCCCAGTCTTCTCGTACTGTGTTGAACAGCAGTGATGAGGGTGGACATACCTTCTGTGTTCCTGACCTTAGGGGAAGAGCTCTCAGGTTTTCCCCATTGAGATGATATTTGCTGTGAGTCTTCCGTAGATGTCAGCCACATTTCTTAACTTTCAAAACTAACTCTCAGTTATTGTTCATGTAGAAAAAACTGAAGACAAGGGGGATCTTCAGCTGGTGTCTTCTTTTCTTTAAAGATTTATTTATTTCGGTGAGAGAGACGGCAAACACAAGCAGGGGGAGGAGCGGAGGGGGAAGGAAAAACAGACTCCCCACTGAGCAGGGAGCCTGACCTGGGGCTCCATCTCAGGGCCCCAGGATCATGACCTCCGCTGAAGGCAGGTGCTTAGCCAAATGAGCCACCCAGGCACCCCCTCAGCTAATGTCTTTAAGTAGGAAACGAGAAGATATTGAGGGAGAAAATGGGGGAGAAAAGGAAGATAGCGCTATGGGGACCTAGACAGTAATCTGAAATTTACAAGGAAGGCAAAATGACTCAGCAAGATTACGCATTCCAGGAGATGCTCCAAGGCAAGCAGATCCAGGAGTGCAGGGAACACAAGCATTGTGTGTTCAATATTCAATCACAGAAGGCGTCCCTTTCACAACCCCCAATTCCAGTTTTTTTTTGTGGTAGAAGAAAAATAAGAGCGTGTGATGAAATGGTAACAGCTGCATAGAAAAGACGGCTTTGGAGAACTTTCTGAGAAGCACAATAAGGTAAGAGGAGCTAAAGCTGTCAAATAAGATAAGCATGGAGAAGAAAGAGCTAATGACATGAATCCTGAATTTTGGAGAAAACCATCTTGGGCAACGGCAGCAGCAGAGAACACTTCAGTGTCCTCAGGATGCATCATGCTCCTGGCACATACATGTGTATCACCAGTCAGGAAGCTCACCCAAGTGTGGTGACCGGAATTTTTGCTGAAGTTTCATTATGGGAGTGTGATTAATTCAATCATTGGCCATACACTGAACTCAATCTCAGGCTCCCTTCCTTCCGCTAGAGATTGGGCTGATATCAAGTGGTTCAAAAGCCCCAACCCTGTTGGTGTTCCTGACATAGCTGGCCCCTATCCTTAGCATCAACTCAGGTTTGGTCCAAGAGGCCTAGCAGGATAACAAACACTCCCATCACTTAGGCAATCCCAAAGATTTAGAAGCTCTCTTCCAGGATCCAGGCAGAAGACCCAGACAAATTCTTTCCACAACACATTGGCTATGGTCAGGAGTCTGTCAGAACTCAGGTGGTCAGGGAAGATACAGATTTGAGGACAGATCAATCACAGGAGATACCGGAGAAGTTAAACGGATAAGGATTGAAGTAATGGGGTGCTCACAGGGATTTGGAATAGCCCAGGTGATGCGAGAAATTTAGGATATCAATATAGCTCTCTATATAGGAGCACCTAATGACAGTGAGCAACTGAGGAAAGAGAAGCCAAAGGAAAAACTGTGTTTGTGGGTGCGTGTGCGCGCGTGTGCTGCGGTGGGGTTGCAACTCTAGTAAATGACATGAGCTGATAAGCATGGAGCGCTTTCAGAAAGTGAAACCACCAAGGTCAAAAGGGCAAGGGACATTAAAATCTAATTAGAGCAGCTCTAGAAGAGGGACAACATTAAGAAGTGGGACACACAGTTGATGGACTCAGGGTAGCAGAGAGACTAGGTTGTGCAGACATGGAGACCAAGAGGAAAAACAGTCTGACAGCTTGGAAACAGACATAACTTATGAGACATCTAGGATTTAAAATGGATATTTAGGAAGCTCTAGGCCTCTGTAGGATGGCAGGTGAAGGCAGGTTAGGAAACAGCTCAAATGACCTCAACGAAATGATGCAAGAAACAAGATGATGGTTCCAAACAATAAAGAAATAGCAAACAGGCAAGAAAACAGATGCGGGAAGACAGTAGAGGAACATGTCTGAAGGACAGGAGAAAAACCAGCAAAGCTGCCTGGAAACAAAACCAAGGCACAAACACACACACACACACACACACACACACAGACACAAAAAAAGCATTTTTGGACAGGAGAGCTGAAAGAATTCATTAGCAACTACAAGAAATGTTCCAGGGCCCCTGGGTGGCTCATTTGTTGATTTCAGCTCAGGTCATGATCTCAGAGGCCTGGGATCAAGCCCCAAGTCCAGCTCTGTACTCAGAGCTCAGTCACCTTGGGAAGTCTCTCTCTCCCTCTGCCCCTTCCCTCCACTTCTGCTCTCTCTTTCTCTCAGATAAATAAATAATCCTAACAACCACCAAAAAAAGGGTTCCAAAATCTATAAAGGACTTATCAAACTCAACATCCAAAAAGCAAATAGTCCACTTAAGAAATGGGCAGAAGACACGAAGAGACAGTTTTCCAAAGAAGAGACACATGAAAAGATGCTCAACATCACCCATCACCGGAGAAAGATATCAAAACCACGATGAGATATCACCTAACACCTGTCAGAAACCCCAAAATCAAATTAAACATACAAGAAACAACATCCCTCTTGTACTGTTGCTGGCAATGCAAACTGGTGCAGCCATGCTGGAAAACAGTATGGGGGTTCCTCAAAAAGTTAAAAATAGAGCTACCCTAGGATCCACCAATTGCACTACTGGCTAACTATTTACCCAAAGGATACAAAAATAACAGATTCAAACATTCTGATGTTTATAGTGTTGGGCTGGCGAGACTGGGGACGTCACAACAGCCCACCCGAGGCCAGCAACCTCCCAATAAAGGCGCCTTGCCGCCCCACCCCCATCTGCCTGCCAAAGCTGCCTTGCTGCCCTACACTATCTTAGCTTACAAAACACAGATCCCCCACCCCCACCCCACCCCCCGCCGCCCACCACCCTGTAACCCTTGCCCCAACCCGAATGCCGCCCTGGCCCCAGCTTCCCACCAAAAACTCTTTATAAACACCCCTGCAGTTTGCCTGGGCGTGGCTTCAGGGAACCACACCAGGGAGCGCTCCCCATTAAAGCACTCTCAAACCTACCACCTGGTTCTGCGGTCTTTAATTGTCCCTGCCGATCATTAAAAGAAAACCTGACATATATCAGCATTATCAACAACAGCCAAACTATGAAGAGAGTCCAAATGTCCATTGAGTAGTGAATGGATAAAGAAGATGCGGTGTATATACACAACGGAATGCTACTTAGCCATCAAAATGAATGGACTCTTGCCATTTGCAATGACATGGATAGAGGTACACTATACTAACCTAAGCAAAGTAAGAGAAAAACAAATACCGTATGATCTCATTCATATTAGGAACTGAAGAAAGCAATGAACATACGGGAAGAGGGAAAAAGGGAGATAGGGAAACAAACCATAAGACTCTTAAGGATAGAGAATACACTGAGGGTTGATGGAGGCAGCTGATTGCGGGAGGGGCTAGATAGGGGATGAGTATCAAGGAGGGCACTTGTTGTGATGAGCACCAGGTGTCTTATATATGTGATGAATCACTGAATTCTCCTGAAACCGATACTGCACTGCATGTTCACTACCTAGAATTTAAATAAAATATTGGAAAAGAAAAAAAAGAAAGCCTTAAAGTGTTCAAGGATGTCCTTCACGCAGAAGGGAAAATGACAGGAGATCTAAATCTGGGCAGACATAAAACATAAAGAAACCAAGCGCACCAGAAATGGCAACGATGTTATTTGAGTATTCCTTAAAAAATAACGCTTTACCCAAAAATCACAACGTCCAGGGGATTGATTCTACCTGTGAAAGTAATATCCGGGAAGCCTGGGTGGCTCAGCAGTGTAGCCCCGCCGTCAGTCCAGGGCCTTATCCTGGAGACCCAGGATCCACTCCCGAGTCGGGCTCCCTGCATGGGGCCTGCTTCACCCTCTGCCTTTCTCCATCTCTCTCTCTCTCTCTCTCTCACTGTGTGTGTGTGTGTGTGTGTGTGTGTGTGTATGTCTTTCATGAAAAAATCAATAGTAAGTCTTAGAAAAAGAAAAAAAAAGTAATATCCAACAACAACATAAGGACCAAGAGGGGAGAAATGGAAATAACCACAGGCTCCCTACAGTTGAAGTGAAACAGTACATTACCTGAAGATGAACTGTAAAATATTAAAGGTGCATAATAGAAACCCCAAAACAATAAAAACATAACAGTGTTAGAGCTAAAGACCGCGCAAAAGATGTAAAACAGAATCACAAAAAATACACAATCCATTGAAAGGAAAGAAGTTCACAAAAGAAGAAAAAAGAGGGATCCCTGGGTGGCGCAGCGGTTTGGCGCGTGCCTTTGGTCCAGGGCGCGATTCTGGAGACCCCGGATCGAATCCCACGTCGGGCTCCCGGTGCATGGAGCCTGCTTCTCTCTCTGCCTGTGTCTCTGCCTCTCTCCCTCTCTCTCTCTCTCTCTCTGTGTGTGTGTGACTATCATAAAATAAAAATAAATAAATATGGTAAATTAAAAAAAAATTTAAAAAAAAATAAAAAAAAAAAGAAGAAAAAAGAAACAAAGCCAATGGTACAAAGAGAAAACAAAACCAGACTACAACCCTTACTGGTTATATCAATAGTCAGATTACACGTAAGGTGGTCTAAGCAACCCAATTAATAAGCAGAGACTGTCAGACACGATTTAAAAACAGCGAGAGGGATCCCTGGCTGGCGCAGCGGTTTGGCGCCTGCCTTTGGCCCAGGGCGCGATCCTGGAGACCCGGGATCGAATCCCACGTCGGGATCCCGGTGCATGGAGCCTGCTTCTCCCTCTGCCTGTGTCTCTGCCTCTCTCGCTCTCTCTCACTGTGTGCCTATCATAGATAAATAAAATTAAAAAAAAAAATTTAAAAACAGCGAGATCCAACTATCTGCACTTGAAGTTAAAGATGGAAACAGGTTGAAAGTAAAAGGGTGAAATCAGATGCCAACACGTCTCAAAAGAAAGCCAGACTGGCTACATGAGACTGTTATAATGATCTTCCACTTCCGGAATTCAATCCATCCATCAATATCCTTGATCTTAGCAGGTACAATCTGAAAACGGACATGACAGATGACATCCACTCTCAAATGATTCAGGTAAGAAATATACATACACACACACACACACACACACACAAACACACAGAGAGAGCTAATAAAGAAAATGTGGGGAGAGGTAAAAAACTGGAGTATCTGGGCAAAGGGAACATGGGAGTTCTCTAAGATCCTTGCGACTGTTGTGTACGTTTGAAGGTTTTTCAAAATAAAATGTTGAATAAAAATGAATGCTATCAAATACATAGAGGATGTTGCAAAAGGACTCAGAAACCCATCTGTAGGGATTCCTCTGGTCAAACACAGAACCACTTAGACATCAAAGAGAGAAACGACTTCAATGTACTGAAATACTTAAAATATGTGTAAACCCATGAGCTCACAATGGTAACAAAATGAATCAAAAAAAAAAAAAAAAAAAAAAAAACCCCAGTTGCTTAGGAGCCTACTGGATATTGTGAAAATAATCTTGTCTGTAAGAAACACAGAACTATTTAAAGAGATGTTGTTCTTTAGGAAAGTATTCTAGCTGGGAGACAAAGAAACGGTAAAGTAACATAGCACCATCTTGTCTCCCCTAAAGAACTGGGGGATCTTGGCAATGAACATCAACCAATGGATGCTAACGTCACAAAAACAAAGGAAGATGATACGGGCCTCCAGGGGAAAGCGGACAAGAGTCATGGGCAGCAAAGGCTTGCAAAAGAACTGAACAGAACTGGGTCAACGTCCGGAGCTAACTACCAATTAGATAAGGCATATGGGTAATGATAAAAGTCTTCAAGTTAGAATGACAGCAATGTGGTCCACACAATCCAGACTACGGGAAACACAGGATAAGCCCAATTTCTTCAAAACATAGACTACAAAGCAGTAACGTAAGAGACATACAAGGAAACCATCAGTAAATGATTTAAAAGACTTAGCCACCTGGAGAGAGTGGTCTCTGTGTATCCTGATTGAAAAGAACCACCTCAAACACATCCAGAAGATGGCGAAACGTTGAACACCAGATACCACACACTGAGAAAAAAAAGGTATTGCGGGTTACCCTCACCTACTTTTTCAAACACCCCTGATCAGTTAAAGAGCAAAAATATCTGCAGGTGAACTTTTTTAAAAGCCAAGTAAAGGGAGACTCCACGAAGAAAAGACACGTGGAAGTAATACGTCAGACGAATGATCACGGGAGGTAAGAGCTGGATGATGTCTGATGCATCTGACTGTACCGAGATCACCGCTAATCTTTTTTTAAAGGATTTTATTTATTATTTGATAGTGAGCAACACAGTGAGAGAGAGAGCAAGAGAGTGAGAGCACACACAAGTGGGGGGAGGGACAGAGGGAGAAGCAGACCCACAGAGCAGGGAGCCCAACTCGGGGTTCGATCCCAGGACCCCAGCATCAGGACCTGAGCCAAAGGCAGACACTTAGCTGCCTGAGTCACCCAGGGGCCCAGCTCACTGCTAATCTTTAGCAATACGTTCCAGAGAGGGGTGAGGACAAAATCAAGATGCTAAGAATTGAAATGGGAACGGCAGTGAATGCACATTTACTAGAGAATACCTCGCTGTATTATGTACTGCACAACCGAGGCAAGTAGTAGTAACAGAAGCCACCTGAAGGATGCGCAGGCCATTACACTCACGACTCAGCTTTTACCCCTGGACAAAACGGTAACAATGAAAATATGTCTCCTTGGATCACGGTATTTTGGTGCCTGGAAAAATTATACATACCAGGTCCTCGGTTTAGATAAGCAACAAACGTGTCAGAGGTTGCAATGATTCAATGATCATCGTTAGGAAAGCTACCCACAACTACATCAGTTTCACAAAGACAGTTTCTCAAGTCCTAAGAAATCTTTAAAACCCACAAGTTACAAAAATGGTTTCCTCTTACGCTCAATTCAAATCATGTAACGCACGGTACGCTCCTTTCCTGGGACTATCAGGCACCGAGTCACGAATGTAGCCCCACCCCATAGGGGTAGCTCCGCACACATGAACTCGACAAAAGACTCTGGGTGTGTGGAGGCTGAGAATATTCGGGCCATTCAAGCTTACCACTGGCACAAGTACAGTCATTGTAGCTTCGGTAGCCGTCTCACGCCACTGTGACCAGGTACTGAACTCTACCTTCCCCCGGCTACACAAAAACCCACAAAGCACGCCCTGATCAGAATAAGGAAGCAAGAGCTTGTGAGACCTCTTTACTGGAGATTCTCACACGGCCACGCTTTACTGAAAGACCCCACCTTACCCCTAGACCAGCCCATAAAAACCCAGCTGTAACCCACCTCAGGTTCCAAGTCCCTGCTCCGCTGTGTCGGGTGTACTTGGACCCAAGCTCGAGCTTGTTAATAAACCCTCATGTACTTGCATCGGCATCGGCATCGGCTCCTTGGCGGTTTTCTGGCATTCGCAATCTGGGGCACAACAGGTGCTGATCTGACAGGGTGAGAAGTGCATTTGACGTGATAACGTCTTTTATTTCCAAATTCCCATTTTAAAATCTGGACCCACACAAATCTCCTGAAATGCATTACAAAACCAAGCACGGAGACAGGAAAACTCACCTGGGATTCGTTCATTTTCTGCTGCTCTTGGAAAACCAAAGACTGTTAACGGTGGACCTGGGGAAGAAGAAGAAAGGATAGAAGTCGCTGGTCATCCTGCATAATACCACCAAAGAAATCTCATTCCCTGTGAACACTCGGAAGAGGCTAAAAATGTGAGAAAAGAGAAAGGTACAACAGAACTGGGGTCCCTCCCACGTATCACGAGGTGACCAGATGGGTTACTCTTTCTTTTCCTTTTTAAGATTTTATGTATTTGTTTATTCACAAGAGACCCAGAGAGACAGAGAGAGAGAGGCAGAGACACGGGCAGAGGGAGAAGCAGGCTCCATGCAGGGAGCCCCACGTGGGACTCCACCCTGGATCTCCAGGATCACACCCTCGGCCGAAGGACCCGTGAAACCACTGAGCCACCCGGGCTGCCCTCGATGGGTTACTCTTCAATGGTTTTTCAAACCGTTTGCCTTCATTAAACTCACGTTGAAAAAAAACCCTCCTCTTCACGGTGCTCTCTACGTAGTTCCTGATCTCTTCAAATTACTGAAAATCACGTATGCACAGGAACAGGAAACACCAGGTCTCTAAAATAGGGTAAATGTGCACCAAGGCACACTTGTTTTCAAATGCTCTCCCTTCACTGGCTCGTCCGCTAGCTACACCGAAGAACCTTTTGATCACGAAAACTAACAGGGCGGCCAGCACGCGCGCCCAGGAGCCCAGGCCCGAGAGCAAGCCCACCCACGGACCCCGTCGCCCTGGACAAGCCGCCTCCCTTCTCAGGCCCAGGCTCCCCCTCTGTCAACCAGGCAGCCGCAGCCCGGCCCTCCTGGCACACCGGCCCTGCGCTCCACCGGCAGATGCCCCAGGGCACAACGCAGCCGGCTCCGCACACACTCCTGGGCGCCTAGAGACCCGTCTGGAGGCTGGACGGGGCGACGGCGCAGCCAGGGGGGGACGGGGCAAGGGGAGGCGGGAGCCCCTTGCGCCCCCGGGAAGCCGGGACCCCACGAGTCCCGCGTCCCGGGGGAGCGCCCATCCCTCCCCGCCCGCGCGCGCGCACTCTGGCCGCCCGGAAGATCCACAACCGCCAGGAGGCCCGCAAGCGCACGACCTACCCCGTCGGGACCCGCCGAGCTGCCCCGAGGCTCGCGAGGGATCCGGGGCGGGGGCTGCTCCTCCTGCGCCTCCCGGGGCCGCCGTTCCCGGGGCGCCGGCTCTGGAACTAGCGCGCAAACTCACTTCGGGCCGACCACCCTCCGGGGCCCCAAACGGCCGCCCGACGCCTCGCCGTCCTGCGGCCGCAAACCGGCCGGACCCGGGCCCCGCCGCAGCCGCCGCCGCCGCCGCCGCCGCCGCCGCCGCCGCCACTCGACCGCCCGGCTCCTCCGGCCCAGGCCCGCGGGCTCCGGGGCTCGCGCTGGGGGGATCCCGCTCGCGCCTCCGCCCGGCCCGCGCGGACCCGCGCCCGCTGGGTGCCGGCCCGGCCGGACGGCGGACAGCCCCGCAGGTCCCGGGGAATCCTCGGCCGCCGGAGGCCGAAGCCTGGGAACCGCGGCGAGCGGGGACCTGCGCACGCACAGGAAGCGAGAGCAGCGCGGCCGCACTGCGCCTGCGCCAACACGCACACAGGCCGAGCTGCACATGCGCACCACGGCGCCGCCGGCGTGCGGCCCGGGTCCTGCGGGAGCCCCCTGGGGGAGCGGCACAAATCCCCGGACTCTGTTTCCCGGGAGTCCAAGCGCCCACACGCTAGGGGACGTCTCGAAAGTCTCCACCTCCTCGGGTGGGGAAGAGGCACCGTGCTCAGAGGATTGACCATCCGGACCTACTGCCCAATGGCCCAGTTGTCTTCGCTCCCGTGAGGAATCGAGGAGACGTGTCGCTTCCAGGAGCGGCTGTGTCTGCGTCCTGGATCCCTGGTCCTTTCCTTGCCCTGACGTCTGTCGGCTTGGCACCGAGACTTCCACAAGCAGGAGAGGACGGGGAAGGGTGCACGTGTGCACGTCACTGAACTATGACACGGTTCACGAAAACACCGGGATACGATTACTACTCAGCAATGACATAAGACAGGCGCATGGTTTCTCCAAGAGAGGAGAAGGAAATAGAAAAGGTAGCTTGTCCAAGTTGCACAACGAATGCAAAGTACAGACTGTGGAACAACCGCATTTCACACACACACAGACCCGAACCCGGATACCTGGGAATTTGCCCGTCCGACGAATTAAATGTATGTTAGGTTAAAATGCCATGTTTTGACGAGGAGGTCCTAAGGACAAGGATGTGGCAGTATTTGGGGGGAGAGATTATATAACGGTGTTCCTGGCCGATTGCTTCTTCAACGCCGCGGGGTGGTGGAGATTAAAAGTGGACTCTCCCGGTCGCCTGGGTGGCTCAGCAGTTGAGCGTCTGCCTTGGGCTCAGGCGGTGATGCCCAGGTCCAGGATGGAGTCCCGCATCGGGCTCCCTGCAGGGGGCCTGCTTCTCCCTCTGCCTGCCTCTCTGCCTCTCTCTGTGTCTCCCATGAGTAAATCAATCTTCCTTCTCCTGAGAGCAGGGGGAGGGGCAGAGGGAGAAGAGGAGAGAATCCCCAGCTGACTCCAGGCTCAGCCTGCAGCCCCACGGAGGGCTTCATTCCACAACCCTGACACCCGGACCTGAGTCCAAACCAAGAGGCAGCTGCTTACCTGGCTAAGCCACCCAGGCCCCCCATCCTACTGTTAAATAACCTTTAAACCAGACTGTGTCGCACATCCCAGGCAAACCACTAACAAGTTGGCAAGGAGAAACCCGAGACTTGCCTTTCATTGTAGCTCAGCCGATAGTGCTCATCCTAAGTGGTAAACCTGTTTCACACCTACAGGACTTGTCAGCACCATCTGCTACGCATTTTTTCATACTTCATCCTAAATTCACCTGGTAGTCGGGGTGCTGGTCCATCCTAGTTGCCGCTGTGTGAAGGAGAAAAAAAAAGTTCTTACCTTTCTCTGTCAAGCAGGTAGTTTACAGCTCATAGCAAGATGCCTAGAGACCATGCTTACCCCCTCCCGGAGACACAGAGGGACACTATCCTCCTTGAGGTTTACAGGTCAAAGAGATGGCTCCCAGGCCCCTAAGAACAACCTTCCTGGGTTGTAATGTGGGCAATACAATTGTTTAGCTTCAAAAGATATTGAGATACATATGAGATCAACAGAGGAAGTATGTATATTACACGTTTACTCAGGTAATGCTTTAATTTTTTTAAAAGATTTGATATTCATGAGACACACACACACACACACACACACACACACAGAGAGAGGGGAAGAGACGTAGGCAACTGGAGAAGCAGGCTTCCCGTAGGGGGCCTGTTGGGGTACTCCATCCCAAGACCCCAGGATCACACCTGAGCCAAAGACAGGCGCTCAACCACTGAGCCACCCAGGTGCCCCAGTAACGCTCTTATGTTTTTTCGTTGTCTTTTTTTTTTTTTTTTTTTTTTTAGATTTTATGCATTTGTTCATGAGAGACACAGAGAGAGAGGGGCACAGACACAGGCAGAGGAAGAAGCAAGCCCCCGGCAGAGAGCCTGATGCAGGACTTGATTCCAGGAGCCCGGGATCACGACCTGAGCCTAAGGCTGATGCTGAACGACCCAACCACCCACGGCCCCCCTCCCGCCGCCCCCCGCCCCCCCGTAAATCTCTTCGAAAAAGTAACAGTAAGTACTCTTTTATACCAATGAACGGGCACATAACCCATTCCCGATTTCCCTTAGCCGAGCTGCTGCATCAAACTAATCGCGCACAAAGGGTGTGCTTCTCCCGAAGCTGCCGATGGCAGTGGCAGTGTAGCCAGGAGCAGTCTTGCCCAGCTCTTGCTGCTACGAAGTGTGGCTGGTGCCGGAATGCTCACCGAAGGAATGCTGCAATTGGAGCCAGGCGATCACACCTCCCCTGGGCCTGAGCCTAGAAGATCGCCAGGCACATCCCTTCCATATTCTTTTCCGTATTCAGCAGGTAAAGGACAGAAGCTGCGCCGAGCACGTCGGTGAAGACAGGCAGAACCCCAGTCCCCTGGGTCCTGGCCTTCAGCCCCGGCTCCCCGCCCCACCACCCCAGGGCACTGCCTGGCTCAGCTGAAGACCCGGACGCCCTCCCACCTCTCCACTCTGGCTCTCTGCCTGTGAACTCTGGCTGTCGTGCCCCCCCCACCCCCCGAACATCCCACTGCGTTCCTGCAACTGACACACGCTGGGCTGCCCCACCACCTCAGCCCCCTACCTCGGCCTGAATACTCTCTGGGCACTGAACTGGACACTCTTAAGGCTCACCCTTCACTCCAGATACATGAAAATATGAAATGACAGATTTTAGCTATCTCCTCCTTCTAGAAACTTCTTTAACCTGGGAGGGCAAATCTTCACCTCGTGTGTCCGTCTGGGCCAGAAGCAGCGGACCTGCATCTTTTCATATCGTTTAAGATCTCTTCATTCATTAGTGTTTAAAATAAAAAGTTTTCTCTTTTTGTATTTGGAAAAAACACAAATATTTCTCCCAATTTATCATCGAGCTTTATTCATTCATTCATTCATGAGAGACGCACACAGAGAGGCAGAGACACAGGTGGAGGGAGAAGCCGGCTCCCCAAGGGGAGCCCGACGGGGGCCAATCTGGATCTCGGGACCCCAGGACCATGCCCTGGCCAGAAGGCAGCGACCAAACTGCAAAGCCACCCAGGCGACCCAAGTCATTGATCTTTGTAACCTAATGTTTTACTTTATTTTCTGTCATATGGATATTGTTTCTGTGTTCAAATCGTTCACTTCCTCTTCATACTTTTCATCTGCTTAGACACTGTCTTTGAAGAAGCCTTTCCCACCCTTAATTTCCTAAGTAGTCGCCTCGGTTTGCTCCCGTTTATTTTTCTCTCTTTAATGCATCAGTTTTATTAAGCTAACTGGCACCCATCTTCAAGATTTGTAAATCATTCTTCTCTTGAAGTCTTTCCACCTTGTTTTCCAAAATGAACACAGTCACCTTGACCAGGAAATGCCAGAGGCATTCAAGGTTCTAATCTGTGTGAAAGAACCGGTTCTTCTTTGAAGCCTCTGGACATGGACGCGTCTTGCCTTAGGGAAAGGGGCAGCAGAAGGATCAGGAAAGTGACTGTCAAATCTGAATTCCCTCTTCTTCAAAAATACTGGTTGGATCTGCCTACAGGGAAGCTGTAACAAAGTAAGACAAACCAGGCAGCTTTCAGGCGTTCACGACAAAAATGCATGGTCTCACTGTTCTGGAGGCTGGGAGTCTGAGATTCAGGTGTGGGCACGACAAAAATACATTCTCTCACTGTTCTGGAGGCTGGGAGTCTGAGATTCAGGTGTGGGCAGGGCTGGTTCCTTCTGAGTGCTGTGGGGGAGGGGCTCTTGCATCCTCCCTCCCTGGCTGGTAGATGTCAGTCTTCTCTCCCTGTGTCATCACACTCTCTTCTCTCTACTTGGATGTTTGTGTCCAGATTTTCCCTTTAAAAAAAAAAAAGTTATGCATTCATTTTACGGAGAGAGCACAAGCAAGCCACGGGAGGGGAAAAGGGGGGGTGAGAGAGAGCGAGAGAGAGAGAGAGAGAGAGAGAGAGAAACAGAGAGAGAGAGAGAGAGAGAGAGAAGCAGACTCCCCTCTCTGGTGTGGAACAGACCTCTCTGGGGCTTGATGTGGGGCTCAATCTAACAACCGTGAGAGCAGGGGCTGGACCAAAATCGAGTTGGATGCTCAACCAACTGCGCCCTCCAGGCGCCCCCCCCCCTAATTTTCCCTTCATAAAGGACAGCATTCTACAGACCCCACTTTACCTTGATTTCTTCCATAAGGATCCCACCACTAAATACAATCACATTCTGAGGTACCAGGGGGTGGTACACATGAATGGGGTGGTAGGGGTGCGAGGGGGCACACAATTCAACCCTAGCATTTGTATACCTGGTCATGTCAAATTGGCTTTCTCACTGCCTTGGTTATGCTGTAAGGGAAGAGCCCCCTTACAGATTATCTTATCGAAGTATTTTAGTTTATAGGTGAAGAAATGGGGGCCTGGAAGAAGGGAGGGTTTGCCTAGGGGCACAGGCTGCTTTGTAACAAAACCATTTCGTTCCCACCTCCCCACCACCCCCATCGTTTAGACAGGTATTCTATCTCCTGCTTTATGTCCTCCAGATTGTCTATCCTCAGAAGTCTGGGCAGACAGAGAAGGGGACACAGTGAATAGGTTACAGGATTTGAATCAAAACAGCTGAAGTGAATCCTGGGGTCCGCTTCGGTCTTTAGGGCTTCACAATCCTTGTTTCTAAAAAACAAATCCTAGGACCCTGCTCTCTCAACGCAGCAAAGAAAAGGAAGAGACATTCCTCCTGCAAATGTCTTATGAAGGATAGATCTTTGATTCAAAACAAGATTTGCAAACAAACATGGGCAAATTGGTATGCAGACACCATTTCAGAACGTTTCAAAGAGGCGATAACCACAGACGATACAGCTTAACCTGACTTTGGGACCCACCAAGTATATGTCAGCCAGGGTGCAGGGCAGTATAAAAGTCAAAGACTAAGATTTACCTTTAATACTGAGCTTCAGACACCAGATCTTCGAAGTCGGTATCCAGAACCTCTTCCCGTCTCCCCATCCCAGAATTCTGTTCTGTGAGTTAGCACTGCAAGCCGTCTTCCTAGGGCGTCTCGAGGTCTTAAGGGTCACAGAAGGGAAACACAGAAACCATTACTCACTAGAGAATGACAGGCCAGGGTGAGCAGCCCCTGGCTAGCTGTGACTTAGTGGAGAGGGCAGGTGTTGTTGTTGTGTGATTTTTTTTTTTTTTTTGAGATTTCATTCATTTGTTTGAATGAGAGGGAGAGTGGCAGAGAGAACACAAGCAGCGGGGAGAGAGGAAGGCAGGCGCCCCATGAGCAGGGAGCCTGATATGGGGGTTCAATGGGTGCAGACTTCCAGTTTGAGGGAAGATGACAAAGTTCTAGAGACGGAAGTTGCTGATGGCAGCACAGCAACGCAAATGTGCTTAAGGCCACTTAATTATACGCTCACCAATGATTAAAATGCTGCATTTTATGTTGTGTTGTGTTATCACCAAAAGAAGGAAGGAGCAAGTAAGACTCAGATGCCCAGGTGAAAAGCAGAGGAAGGAGGTACGAGGTGTGGAAGAAGCTTCCCCTGATACTACAGGACAGCCAGTCAGTTATTTTGTGACTGCATCTGTGCTCCTGGGGGCTTCCCACCTTCTCAATAAAACAGATTCTGCCTCCAATTGGAGGTTTTTCCACTCAGCCTTTGTGGGCACGTCACAACATTTTATTCATACGATACACAAGGAGTAGTGAAATTCCTAGGTCAAGGGTAATACACATGCTCAAAATTTTACATGCAAGCTAGAGCTGATTAACTGCAATCAAGGGGCAGGTTCTGGGTGATCCATGGACTTCTGAAATCGGGGACAGCATCTGATGTGTGTGGGAGCACACGTACAATTTTCTAGGAGCAGGCTCCCAAAATACCTCCCGGGCTCAGGGACACCGGAGAGTAGAGCATGAATGCTCCCCCAGCACAGAATCCCCAACACAGCATCAGTAAAACAAGTGAGAGAGCTCTGCCAAATTAAGCGACGTAACCTAACTTTTCAATCCAACAAGTCCATGTACCTGGACGTTCCCTACATACTTATTTCACTCTTGTAAGATCTTACCTTCCCTCGTCTGTTTCCTCCCTCTCCTGCCAGACTGCACCCTGAAACAGGAATAGAAGGATGCAGAGAGCCCCGCATCTGCTGGAGAGGAGTAGAGTGATCCAGACACCCCGAGGACCGTTTTGGAGGATGGCTGCAGGCCGGATCGGCGACTTGAGATAGCCTTGATCCTGAACTCCAGAAGTGGACCTCGGTCTCGCAGTTGCACGTGTCTTCCTTCAAAATGGCTGCCAGGCTGGAATGGTGCATGACATCAGAGGCTTCTGACCTTCCTGATTGGAAAGACTGGACTCCGTGGTTCTTGGCAACGGAGGTGGACAAGAGCATCTTCGCAGAGCATGTCCATACTCCTAGCTTGGCCCCAGCTTAGAGAAGGGATAACAGGGCTTGGGTTCACCCAGAAGCCAGAAGGGGAGTTTGAGAAGAGGAGGGTCTGAGTCTCCTGGGAGGGCGCAAAGAGCTTGGGAGAAATCATGGCCAGTTGTCAACCGTCCGCCCAGTCTGAGGGCCAGAGCCCCCAGCCTAGCACATCAGGGTACCCCCCGGAGGCCGTGGTAGATGAAGAAAGCCCAGGACCATCAGGTGAGGAGGCAGGAGGGAGAAGCAGGAGGGAGAAGCCTTGACAGGCTTGACTAGTGAGTACAAATGGGTACAGAAGCCAGGAAGGTGTGTCTGACTAGACTGCACGTGACAGGAGAGATTCAGAAAGCCAGGGATTGGAGAAGAGAGCACGGGAGCCGGGGACAAGGGTATCCCACTGGCAGGAAAACCCAGGAAGCAAGGAAGGAGGGTTAGGTGATGAGATCCAAAGATGAGAGAAAGGAAGAGAGGACATTATCCCATTATCCTCATGGGAGAAATGATCTACGAGGAAGAGTTTTGAGGGCGTGGTGGGAGGTATGAAACAGTGGCAAAGATGAATGGGGGCAAATGCATATGAATGAAGGACAAAGATGAAAGGTGGTTTTGGAGAGGCCAATCATCTATGAGGCTACAGAGAATGAAGAGGGAGTTTGGGTTTGCGGGTGTGGAAAGCGTGGCTGAATTCCAAAGACAGAAGAAGCTTCGTACTGTAGCCTGGTTTCTTCACTCAGCCCCCTTTGTAGACCCCTGCCCCTTGCCTCAGTCCCGCGGAAGGAAGAGAGACATCGAATCCGACGAGGAGACAGCCCCTGAGGCCAACGACATCTGGGTGGTGGAGACACTGAGGGGACTCAAGATGAAGCTGAAGAGACAGCGGGTATCTTCAGTGCTCCCTGAGCACCACGAGGCGTTCAACAGGCTGCTCGGTAGGAACAGCACCCTCCAACCTTATTCGTTTTTCCTGAAAACACAAGAAACTTCCAATGGCTACGCTTTTCCAATGGAAAATAATTCTTTGCAGGTCGCTGAGCTCTCTCTCTCCATCCTTGGAGGACTCCATACTGACCCCTCATCGGGGACACTTAGAAATGACAGAGGGATGAGAAAGCTTAGGTGCGGTCGCACTCCTGAGACATCTTAGCGCTTACTGGCCTTTTGAGTCTGAGTGCCTTCCGCTGTGTCGGGGCGGGGGCGGGGCCGGGGCGGGGGCGGGGAGGGGAGGACAGGCCATCTTTGTACCCCGATGCCACTGTGGAATGAGAAAATGACAGCGGATGATGTTATGGTCTCTGCAGTGGCACATCCATGCATGATGAGACAGCATCACTATTTACTTCAGATCCCATCCTGCAGATGCACTGCTGACACCTGCCTGCCTCTGGGTCACCCGACACGGGGGAGCCGCCAACTTTTCTTGGCCAGTCCATGGTCTTTTCTCCCCTCTGCCCATCAGCCTCACCCTTGGCTACATCCTGAAACTTCCCCAGGGGAGGTACTGTTCTCTTTGCTCTGGAACAAAGAGAGGGTTCCCACAGTAACCCCATTCCAGTTGCCAACATGACATCTGCCCTCTTTTCACAGAGGATCCTGTCATCAAAAGATTTCTGGCCTGGGACAAAGATCTGAGAGTATCCGACAAGGTACTGTTGTTCTCCACTAAGATAGACTCTTGCTCCAACACCTGTCCTGGGGCAGGGGAATGCCTCCTCAACCCTCTCTCCAACCTCATGCCTACCAAGACTTCTGGTCGGGGACCTCGTGGCTTTTGCAGATCCCCTGGGACCTGAGCACCAGCTGTGCCCCTCTGGCTGTTGCTACCTTAAGTCCCTTTGCCTCTCTGCTCCTGGGGGGCTTCCTTTGGCTCCAGCTTATCAAAGACCCCCCTCAAGCTGGCTGTCCTAAACACAAGCCCTCAAACCAGCACAACTAGCCATCCTGGGAGCACCACAAACTCTTCCCTTGCTTTCCCCAGTTTGTAACCAACTGTCTGACACCAAAGAAGCAGGTTCACCCAACATGTCAAAGAGGCACCACCTGCTCCAGCCTCCTGTCCCCTCACCTCACTGGTCTTCCTCTCCCAGGATGGGACCCTTCTATGACGGCTTTTCTCCTCTTTCCGCCAGTATCTCTTGTCCATGGTCATCGCCTATTTTAGCCGCGCTGGTCTCTTCTCCTGGCAGTACCAGCGAATTCATTTCTTCGTGGCACTGTGAGTATTTCGCCTCATCCATCAGCAGTAGTCAATAACCTGGGAGGAAGGAGGGTAGAAGTGGGACTCTGATCTTTCGGCTCTTTTTCTCAACCTGTTTCTAACTCTTTAAATCTTGCGGGTTTTATTTACTTACTTTTTTTTTTTTTTTGAGCTGTTTACTCTGTGTATAAAAACAGTAGGATTATAGTGGTTTTTTATGCTATTCTTTGTAAACACAAATGCCCCTAACATCAGCTAAGAGACCCCCTGAAGAGAAGGAAACAAAAACTCTCCAAAGAGGAGGGAAGGAAAGAACAGAGGCTGCCTCGCCCCAAGCAACTAGGCTCAAGCAGCAGCCAGTTCTGATCCTTGAGATCTGTCTTCTTCCCGTGGCAATACCAAGCATAACTGTCTTCCTCCTCTGCACTCCCAGCACAAATGCCTCAATTCAGCCTCAAGACATAGCACAGATCTGTCGTAAAGGCTCCCGCTGGTGTTTCTTACAAATCCGTCCCAAGCCAGTGGGTGCTATATGCCTGAAGTCTTTCCAAAGCATCGTCTCCTGCTCTACGCTCCATAACAATCTCATGGGCTAGGGGTGCTAGTGGTCAAGGTCAGAGTTTCCAGCTTAGCTCCAACCCCCTCATCTCCATCCAACTTGTTCACCCTCTTCGTGTTTCATCCTTCCAAGTACCCTTCCCTCCGTTTCTATACTGTGTTTCCCGTCTAGGTGATTTTGCACGTCTCCCTGAAGAAAACGACCTTTCCTCGAGATTGATTCCAACCGCAAAATCTTCAGATGGCCCCCTAACCTCCCTGACTTCTGCACCCTAGTAGCACTTCTGTTAAAATTCTAGTCTCATGGGTATTTTGGACTAACGTTATTTCTCATTCACTACCCCCTTCTGCCCCTTTCCCCCTTCCCCAATCCCGTTACACTAGACACCTGTTGAGGCAGGTCTTGTCAAAATATTACCATGCTCTCAAAAACACTCAGCACAATTCCTTACATTTTGCAAATGTTTAAGTTAGGTCGGGTCTACGAGGTAATCAGTATTGCCCCTGACCGTGAGAGAAAGCATTCACTTATTCATTCAACAAACACGTATAAAGTACATCTGATGTGCCAGGGACCATGAGGCGATGGGAAGAGAGAAACAAGAAGTGCATGTTGAATTACTGCACCTACATGAACCCAGTCCTATATTAGTCATTTGGGAGGAAAGCCAGGACTACAGAAATAGAGCAGGAGCTGTACACATGCCCCTGCTCCACAGGGCGACAGGTGTGTGCACAGACAGGCTGAAGGGAAGGGGGTGGGCTCAGGGATGGGAAAACAGAGCAGCATATGCCCTCAAGCTTCTGGGTGAGTTGTCTTTCTCCTCAAAGCGGGAGAAGTCTCTGCCCAGCCGTGCCTTCCTGATGACTGGGGGGCGCTCGACGACGCTGGGTAGGAAGCCGACTACATCTTTTCTGGGAAGCTGAGCTCAGGTGGGGGGGGTCCTTCCTGTCCTGCTCCTGACCAGCAACCTCATGTCTTTCTCCAGCTACCTGGCCAATGATATGGAAGAGGATAACCAGGCCCCCAAACAAGCCATCTTTTCATTCCTTTATGGGAAGAACCGTTCCCAGCGTCCCTTGTTCCACAAACTGCGATTGCAATTCATCCGATCCATGGGCTGGAAGACCAGGGTGTCCAGGGAAGAGTGCGAGGAGGTGGGTGGGCTGTGGGGATTAGGGGTGGGTGAATGGGGGGGGGGGGACATGTTAGGACATGGGATTCAGGATGAGAAAGAATTAGAGCCTGGAGAGTGGGAGGGAGGGGGAATCCACCTGGAGGTTGTCTTCTCAGGGATCTGTTTGTCTTCCAGATCCAGGCTTTCGATCCAGATCTGTGGGTGTGGGGGCGAGATCGCACCCTCATACCCTAGAGGGACCACGGAGGCCCGAGGTCATCGGCCTGAGGGGAGGTATGTCACGGGTCCAGGCACCATGACTTATTGTGTATTGAGGAAATCTGAGGAATCCAATTGCTAGACCACGCTCCTCTCCCCTGCCCCACACATGAGCCTTCCCACACACTGTAAAGTCGAGCAGCCACGCAGCCAGACGCGGACTCAGGTCCCAGCCACATGCTCACAACCACACACAGGCATGACCTCAGGGAGATGTGTGGGGGCCAGACTAGGGAAAACCGGTCTGTCACAGAGGCATGGCTGAAAGAATTCCATTCACGGCAATGGGGCCCCAAGGATAGCTTTCATGAAATGTTGATTTTCTGTGGAAAGTGAGGAAGTTTTCAATTGATTCCATAAATTGTGTATTCACTTTCTTTCTTTCTTTTTTAAGATTTTATTATCCAGGGCAGCCGCGGTGGCACAGCGGGCCAGCCGCGGTGGCGCAGCGCTTTAGTGTCGCCTGCATCCCGGGGTGTGCTCCTGAAGACCCGGGATCGAGTCCCGCGTCGGGCTCCCTGCGTGGAGCCTGCTTCTCCCTCTGCCTGGGTCTCTGCCTCTCTCTCTCTGTGCCTCTCATGAATAAATAAGTAAAAATCTTAGAGAAACAATTTATCTATTCATGAGAGACACAGACACACACACACACACAGAGAGAGAGACAGAGAGAGAGAGACAGAGAGAGAGAGAGAGAGAGAGAGAGGCAGAGACACAGGCACAGGGAGAAGCAGGCTCCACGCACGGAGCCTGATGTGGGACTCGACCCCGGGACTCCAGGGTCATGCCCTGGGCCGAAGGCAGGCGCCAAACCGCTGAGCCACCCGGGGATCCCCAGACTTTCTAATTCATTTTTGGCCTTTCATCCCTCACAGGTATCAACCACAGGGACTTGTTTACAACAACGTATACGTCTAACAGTAGGATATTTGATGGAAGAGTCTACCTATCTAGTGATACAAGAGAAATTATGTCTAGTTATGCTTTCATCCAAATTTCCTTTCAAGCACATTGCTTATGGCCAGATTGCCTGTGCATCTTTCATGTCCCCTGCCTGCTTCCGGACCAGTGTCCCATTTTGTTCAATTATACCTTTCCCCTCAGGTTTTTGGTCAAGGACGTTTGTCAGAACAAGTGAAGCTTAAGAAATAACAGTTTCAGCATGGCTTATTGTGATCGACACATAAACTTATAGATTTGGGTAGAGGATTAAGTGAAGATTGGGTTCAACTCATGTGAACTATAGCTCTGTTAGTCCATTTAGGCTCCTACATCAGAGGACTACAGAGTGGATGGATGGCTTAAGAACAACAGACATTTATTTCTCACAGACTTGGAGGGGACAAGTCTGAGATCGGAGTGTCAGAACCTTTACTGGGTTGGTCAGAACCTTTACTGGGTTGCAGATTGCCACCTTCTGGCTGTGTCCTCACATGGTGGAAGGGGAGAGCTAGGTCACTGGGGTCTCTTTTATCAGAGCACCAATCCCATTCAAGAGGGCCCCACCCATGCCCTAATCATCCCAGTGGCCCCATCTAGCACCATCACCTTGTGGGTTAGGATCTCAATGTATGAATTTGGGGTGTGCGTGTGGGATACAAACATTCAGACCACATAGCACTCACCAACTTTAGGACTAGGTGTTATGGTTAAACATCCGGATCTAGGGTTAGAATGGGGGATTAGGCATCTGGACTCATGGTTCATGATGTTGATGTGTGAGTGATGTTTGCGGTATGGTGATTAGTTCAGACTCTAAGTAGCACAAAAGGACCAAGGCGAGTGTCCAGTCTAAAGCAACATTCTCTCAAGGTTGTTTGTTTTGGTCCCTGAACAGAATCACCTAGAGCGAGCCCTGGCTATAAAGTAGATGACTGGGCCTGTTCTTAGGTACATGAAGAAGTTTTTGGAGCCAGGATCACCAAAGTCCAAAAGTCAAGCTTGGAAATGAACTGGGGTTTAGAACGAATGATGAGGGATAAAGTGGATTTATAAATTCGTCTCAACTCTGATTACAATGGACTGAGAAGGTGAATAATCTCTGTATCTGGAGAGGTGCCTCCTTGCAATCTGATGTCCTTCCCCTCTTTCTCAATTGCAGATCCCTGAGCCCCGGGGAGACGCAGGTTTTTCAGTCGGAAGTCAGGAACACAGGAGTCTCTTTCACAGATAATCTAGAAGAACCCAGGACCTTCCAGAACGAGCTCAGTGGAGTCATCATGTTGTACTCCTAGGAGCTGGGAGTCCATGGATTGGAGTCCACGGAGAGACAATAAGAAACCAGGGTTTTTTTTCACGTCCATCCCCTCCTGGGATACCATCAAATATTGCACATTACTTAATTTGAATCTCTGCTGAGGTAGAGGTCGGAGGTCCCATTTTTCATGCACTGGGACACAGGGGAGGAGGAAATTACCTCAAAAATATAAAATTAGAACCCGAAGGATTGTGACAGCCAAACATATGTCATGAATTTCATTTGTTCATTTTGAAAATGTTGCCCTTAGATTATATTTGTTTCTCTAGTTTTTATTTATGTATTTATTTTAAATAGTTCTGAAATAGTCATAGTTTCCAAGACATGCTATTCCAACGTAGTTTTGTGATGAGATTTCAGCTGCTGCATAACTATAACTTTGTTTACATATTCAGGATAGGTTTTGTTTTTATTATACTTATATAATACATCAGTTATACTTATAACCAGACGGGTTAGTTCCCTCATGTTCTTGTAACTGTAAATATTTATTTGATAGTCTTCGTTATTAAACTGTGAGAACCAGGTGTCATTTTTTAACTTGCCTTGATGACATGTTGGTATGTTACTTTAGGTTATTAAAGAGGACACTGCAAGGTGTCTCCTGGGGAAACATAATAAAGAGATGTCTTCTTACCTTCATGATGTTTGTGGTCATCACCATCAGTCTCATCTGTTCACTGTTCAATGATACTGTCGCTTAATGGGGATGTGATTATTTAGCCACGTTTTTCTTTGTCTTTTCTTTTCCTTTAATATTTACAACTGTGTGCCAAGAATTTATCTTAGATTAAGGTGGATAGTGCTGATTTCCCTTCAAGAGGACATGGCCTCCATATTCTTCTTCTTTTACAAAACAAACACTTCAATATATTAACATATGATGGATTATTGGTTACAAAGGTAGAGGTCAGTGATTTATCAGCCTCATGTAACACCCAGTCCCTCCTTAATGTCCCTCCTGAATGTCC